ATTCTGTGTTTTTCTGTCAATATGGGGTGCTGTGTGTACATTAATGAGGAAAAAAATGAACTTAAATGATTTTAGCATATGGCTGCAATATAACAAAGAGTGAAAAATTTAAGGGGGTCTGAATACTTTCCGTACCCACTGAATTTTTAGTCTGTTCAACATCCTGACCTCCTGTTCACTATCAGTTTTCACCTACAAGCTTATCATTTACTTTGTTCACCACAGAACAATGTATGACTGAGATCTGTTGTGTGAACAGGCAGCCTGTCATTGTCTCTGTCTCACCTATAATTTGGTGTATGTCAGTGTGCTGCCTTCATTTGTCATATAGAAAACCTTAAACTTAGTTTGGGTTTCAAGAACAAGGTGATAAATCAGACCACCCTGCACTGGGTGGTAACACCCAGTGTTCTGAACTTAAAGGATAAATTGTCAACAGCCTGCTGATTATGTCACCTGCTTTGTGAGCTGTTTCATTACACTTTTTGTCCAGACTGTGAATAACCACATGTTCAGTTAGTTGGTCAACAGAACTTTCACTTGTATTTTATTTTTGGCATTCACGCCCATAACACAGGACCTTTTTGAAGTTTCTTTTGCTTCCTCTCCTAAAAAACACAGCAAACATTTCTTCCTCTTTTTATCCACCTGATATGGACTGTTTCCATAGATTGCACATGCTAAGTGTTTATTAGTAAACAGTTGTGTTGGTGGTTAATTATAAGTTTATTTGCCTATATTTAAATGAACATTCTGTGTCAGAGTATCTGAATGTTGCAAAAGTTGCATTTCTGCTTACAAAAATGAACTCCTGCTGTAGAGTATGTACCTCTGTTCTGTGTTTCAAAACACCATCTGCCACTGAGATTTCTCAACAGTTTTCCAAGTATTTTCTACACTTCTCTACACTAATACCATTGAAATAGTTTCCTAAAATAATGTGATGTGCATGGGAAATAAGTGAAACTCCCCGATTAGCAGATACATTCACTTAAATTATAAAGTAAGGGTTTAAGACTAAAATTAAAGCTGCCCCACCCCACCCCTTATTCCTGGTCGATGTTCTTTGTGAACTTTGATTTGATTTATTCTTTCAAACATGTAAAGACAGTCAATATGTCAACACACATAATTTCACACAAATCCACAAATGCATTATCAATTTGCTTATACCTAGTACATGCTTGAATGGAGTAGGAAGAAGTCAGACTTATCCAGTCCTACCCCATGACATCATCTTACCATCAGCTTTCTAGTGGCTCTGCACTTTGTGCAGCCCTCTCACCTGCAAGATGTCCTGGATCTGGCTAAGCTGCTGCCTCAGCACCTGCTTCTGATGGAAGCTGAAGGCCGGGTGGTTAGAGGCCATGGTGAACAGCAACAGAAACTGCTCCTCTGTCCTCCAGTCGTTTAGCGGCAGACCATAGTTATTGATCACAGTGTCTATGTGAGTTAGGGTCCGGTACAAGACCCCAGCCGCCTCTCGATTGTCCGAGCCGAGTAGGGCGAGAGACACCAGCAGCTTGCTGCGCACCATCTCATCCGTGATGTTGGTGAGGCCCAACAGGTCGGCGGGGTTGTTGGCTTTGATCTCCGCATCCCGTAGGGAGTGATAATCCTTACGCGCTAAGTCCTCCAGACAGGATCCGAGGAAGCGGAGCTCGATGGGGACACAGAGGTCCAGCAGGCCACACAGGAACTCGGCTCTCTGGGCTGAGGTGAGGGAGGAGAACCAGCAGTACACCCCCTCCCTATGGACACAGTTTCGGTTTTCTACCATCCTCATGCATCCACTCAAACTGTAGGCTACCTCAACTGCTATTGGTTTAAAAAAGCAACTGAGGTTAAAATGTGAGACTTTTAACTGAGTAAATTTGACAACATAGGGACCGCGTGTTTACGTGTTCGTGCGTAATTACGCAGACGCTCCTGTGCAGTGTTACTCTCAAGTGACCATAAAGTCAGAGCCAATTTGTGAGATTTCACTGAAGCCAGTGACTGAGGCGGCTTCTCACCCCACACTCTCAAAGCTTGTGTCCACACACGACGGCCACAGGAGTGAAATGCAAGAAGTAACAGGCGTTTCTTTTGTTGGCAGACCAGCAGCAACAGATCAGCAGGCCTTTCCGAACCATAATCTCTCCACAACCAGAGGAGTCTAGTTTGTGTTCAGCACGCAGCACGGCAGCCAGACGTCCCTCTGGCGTGTTCCCTTTCGCCGGTGGGGCGGCAGCCCTCCCGGAGGCGCTGAACCCCTTCTTCAGAATGGCGAAAAAGATCAATACACGCCAGCCGACTCAAGAAGCATCTTAATCATACAAAGCCTATTTGATCCGCACGGTGCAACAATTCCTTCCTGTAGAGCTGCTCGTGGTTTGTCCTCATGGTTTCCATTACTTGTGCGAGGAACCGCCTGACGAAGCCTAAACATAAAGTCTCAACGGCGAGCAAGACTGTGCTGGGATTAAAGTTTAAGAACAAAACTAGTGTATCCGCAAGTTACTGCTGCCGCATGAAGTAACACAACTTTTCCGAGACATTATGTTATGAAACACGGCTGAAGATATTAGCGGATTATTGCAATGTCCATAAATGAGTTTAGTGCTAAATGTACTTCTATCTTTCCTGCATTCTACCAGGAGTCTTGAAATCAAGAAAAAAAAAAACAGCTGTGTATAACATTATCCCAAATCTTGCAGCGAAACCAGCCCACCATAGAGACATGTCTGCTCTGATTCGCTGCGAGCGCTGTTTGTAATCACGGACTCTCTCGTGATTGGCTCAGAGGGATATCCACTGCCTTGCTATTTCACATCTTTTTCTCATGCGATCATAAATATCTCAGCTTAGTTATCGGAGCTTTAAAGCGCCAGATACACATTTAAGTGATTTTTGTAATTATTCTCAACGGCAAGAAAGTTATTGTCTGTATTCGCAGCGACAAATTACGAATGGTTGCTTTTAGTATTTTTTTTTTTTTGAGATTTTGAAGAAAGCTTAGATATCACGTAACTACATTAGCTGAAAAATAAAAATAATCGAATGGTTGTGTAATATTTTAAATATACTATTTCCAGAGTTTTTTTTAAAGAATGCAATAAATAATAAATAGATATAAAGCCACAGTGATAAGGGATAATACATTTGTGGAAATAGTTTTGGTTGTGTAAGTTTATGTTGGCTAGTGGTTCACTAAAGCCACAGCATAAATTAATGTACTTAATGTGCTGCTTGGCAGAAACTGTTATTTAAACTCGACTCTTCTTTCATTGTGTGAAGCCCCTTAATGCAGCTAATTTGTAGTTCATATCTAGTTCCAGAAGATGGCGTCACATGTTAATGTCATACACTGTATGGTACATGTTGAAACCTGATGCACCAGCACTTGTGTATGTGGTGTTGCATCATGTTCCCCGACTATGCATGCTCATAGATGATATGAAAACATCCTTTACTAAATTTATTTAACACTGCTGGTTAAACACAGTTTCAGACGTACTTAGTATGACATGTTTTACTTCAACCTGCCCTGTGCAGTTTTTCTCTTCCCCCATCTACATCAGTATAGCCCCATCCCCCTCTCAATGAAAACACTGGTCTCTAGAGGTAAACCCCACCCCTCAAAACAGGTCCCGCCCCTCCCTGCTGGAGGAAAATCTAGTAAATGTTGCTATAGTAACCGTACCCCTCCCTCTCAAACAGGCCTGAGCATCTCCCTTTCTGTATCAGGGGTGCTGCGTAACACAACCACACAGAGAGAGAGAAAGACTAAAAACATCAGAGCCAAGAGTCACTTTCTTTCAAACACTTTTCATTATTTTCTTCACATAACTCAAAAACAGTAATTCCCAAAAACAGAAAGAAAGAAAGAAAAAGAAAGAGGCGCATCAAACTAGAGAGAGAGAGTGAGAGGGATAGAGAGCTTGGCATGCTGTAGCATGCTGTAGACTAGCGGCGTGGCACAGGGTATCACCACCAGGCTGATGGCATACAGTAGAGCGTCTTAAACTTGTTTCTGTCTGGGACCCAAAATAAAATAAGAATATATTGTTCTGCCTCTTGAGGTGCAGGCGCATTAGACTGAATTCTTTAAATAAATGTAGGGA